AGTGAGTGTATAATGGACACAACATCTGTCGGGCTGACTGGTGAAAGGAGAAAAGAGTTTGGATAGCTGCCTGAGAGATATGTGTTGATATGTGTCTGAGTCTGTGGGAATTTACTGGCAAGGTTAGCACCAACCGATGAAAAGAAGCTATTAAATTCATTTGCCATTTCTAAATCAGTTGCCGGTGTATAGCCATCCTTATAGTGTTTTATCTGGTTATGTGGGTGTTGCTTAGTTCCTAGGATATTAGAGATGGGTTTCCAAGTGCTTTTCATGTTGCATTTTGCTTCATTGAATCTATTCTTTTAATATGAAAGTTTTGCCTTTCTTATGATACTGGAAAGCATTGATGAGTACCTTTTAACTACTTCCTTTGTAACTAGGCCAATCCTAAGTTTCTTTTCAAATGGAATGCATTAGGCCGTGATGTGGTGGAGGCAGACTTCATACACAGTTTCAAATGTAGATTTGATAGAGCCCAATAGGTTCCAGAATCTGTAACCCCCGTGTTGATTGACGGTTGAGAGGCGGGACCAAAGAGCCAGTTGATTGCTATCAAAGCTCAATCCCCCGCAAGCACAACTAGGCGAGTACACACACATACAAGCGGTTGGGGTAGCCGAGGTTGGAAACAATGGAAGATATTCACAGTTACTACCACAGGCGCAGCAGTTTGTAAAAGTTAGTTTGCGTTTTTAATATTCCGTAGAGTCGCGAGCACTGTGAGCGGCCTCCTCATAATGTTTTACCTTGGTTAGCTGTTAGTGCATGCCTGGCCCGGCTCTGTGCTGCTGCAGCTGCTGCCTGGCCCGGCTCTGTGCTGCTGCAGCTGCTGCCTGGCCCGGCTCTGTGCTGCTGCAGCTGCTGCCTGGCCCGGCTCTGTGCTGCTGCTGCTGCCTGGCCCGGCTCTGTGCTGCTGCTGCTGCTGCCTGGCCCGGCTCTGTGCTGCTGCTGCCTGGCCCGGCTCTGTGCTGCTGCTGCTGCTGCCTGGCCCGGCTCTGTGCTGCTGCTGCCTGGCCCGGCTCTGTGCTGCTGCTGCCTGGCCCGGCTCTGTGCTGCTGCTGCAGCTGCCTGGCCCGGCTCTGTGCTGCTGCTGCTGCTGCCTGGCCCGGCTCTGTGCTGCTGCTGCTGCTGCCTGGCCCGGCTCTGTGCTGCTGCTGCCTGGCCCGGCTCTGTGCTGCTGCTGCAGCTGCCTGGCCCGGCTCTGTGCTGCTGCTGCCTGGCCCGGCTCTGTGCTGCTGCTGCCTGGCCCGGCTCTGTGCTGCTGCTGCAGCTGCCTGGCCCGGCTCTGTGCTGCTGCTGCCTGGCCCGGCTCTGTGCTGCTGCTGCCTGGCCCGGCTCTGTGCTGCTGCTGCCTGGCCCGGCTCTGTGCTGCTGCTGCCTGGCCCGGCTCTGTGCTGCAGCTGCTGCCTGGCCCGGCTCTGTGCTGCTGCTGCCTGGCCCGGCTCTGTGCTGCAGCTGCTGCCTGGCCCGGCTCTGTGCTGCTGCTGCCTGGCCCGGCTCTGTGCTGCTGCTGCCTGGCCCGGCTCTGTGCTGCAGCTGCTGCCTGGCCCGGCTCTGTGCTGCTGCTGCTGCCTGGCTCGGCTCTGTGCTGCAGCTGCTGCCTGGCCCGGCTCTGTGCTGCTGCAGCTGCTGCCTGGCCCGGCTCTGTGCTGCTGCTGCCTGGCCCGGCTCTGTGCTGCTGCTGCCTGGCCCGGCTCTGTGCTGCTGCTGCTGCTGCCTGGCCCGGCTCTGTGCTGCTGCAGCTGCTGCCTGGCCCGGCTCTGTGCTGCTGCAGCTGCTGCCTGGCCCGGCTCTGTGCAAACATAACTCCTGATATCTCACCAAAGTGACTGCACGTAATTTGACGAAATTAATTACACTGTGGGACTATAGTCGCTTACAAGAGCTTTTCGATAAATTTGGACGCTGAGCTAATTTGACAGCCTAAGGACTTTGACGATGTGTTTCTGTTTAGAGGCAAATAACAGAAAAGTATTCATCGACTACGGCTGATGTCCTTGGCAGGAATGCTTGGCCATTTTTGGAAGCAATCGCTAGTCAGTTCCAGCCCCTATTTCTGGGATTAGCCAATCAGCGATCGGCTATTCGGTAGCTTCTAGGCATACTAGTGTGTTATAGACTCATCTATGGACATATAAGATGGGAGAGGGGGGGGGGATGAAATGTTGGAGAAGGGGGGGGGAAAGGGTGAAGGGGAAGTGAAGAGGAATTTATATGGGGAAAGAGCAAAAGATGAGGGGTGGAAAAAACATATGTTTAACAGTGATAAATTCCACAGTTACTTAAGTATGGGAAAATTAAGACCTTAAACTTAATACAAGGCACGAAACACAATCAGATCCACCCGAAGTAGGAAAGCAGCATGCAAAATATCTGGGAATAATGATGCCTGATGACATAACGTTTAGGGAACATAACCAAGCAAATATTGTGTCAGCTAGAAAAATAATAGGATGAATTGCGGGAACTTTAAAATCCAGGGATCCCACCACAATGCTCCTACTATTCAAATAATTGTGCTGTCACGCCTTGAGTACTGCTCGAGGCATTCACCCTTTCAGACCAGGAGATATTGCTGAAATAGAGGGAATAGAGAAAATATATAGGGCACGCGTAGACACGATAAAGCACTTAAATTATTGGGACAGTCTCAAAGCTCTCAAAATGTACTCCCTGGAAAGGAGACGAAAGAGTTATTACATATGCCAGTCGGCCGAGTGAGGGAGCCGAGCGGACAGCACGCTGGACTTGCGATCCTGTGGTCCTGGGTTCGATCCCAGGCGCAGGCGAGAAACAATGGGCAGTGTCTTTCACCCTATGCCCCTGTTACCTAGCAGTAAAATAGGTACCTGGGTGTTAGTCAGCTGTCACGGGCTGCTTCCTGGGGGGGTGGAGGCCTGGTCGAGGACCGGGCCGCGGGGACACTAAAGCCCCGAAATCATCTCAAGATAACCTCAAGATATCATATACATGGAGAGTACTGGAAGGCCAGGTCTCTAATTTGCACAGTAAAATATCATACTGGAGTGAACGATATGGCAGGAAATGCAGAACAGATCCAGTGAAGAGCAGGGGTGCCATAGGCACAATCAGAGAACACTGTGTGAACGTTAGAGGTCCATGGTTGTTCAATATCCTCCCAGAAAGTATAAGAAAAATTGTCAGTACAAAAGTCGAAGTCATAAAGAAAAAAACAGTTTTCCGCAAGAAGTGCCGGACCAACCAGGTTGTGGTGGATATGTGGGCCTACGGGCCGCTCCAGGCAATAGCCGGTTGGACCAAGCTCTCACAAGTCAAGTTTGGCCCTAGGCTAGGCTTAGGACCTAGGCTAGGCCTTAAACTTTGAGAACCCTTTGCCGGTAAGATCCAGGTAAGAGTTGGGGGGGGGGGGAGAAGTGGAGAAACATTATCTTGGGCACTGCTGGGTACACTTCCTAGTATATCCATACAGGAGGGGGGGGGGGAACACCAGGGATTAATTGGGAAGTAACCAGTCATGTTCAACAGTGATCAGTCATGTTCAACAGTGATCAGTCATGTTCAACAGTGATCAGTCATGTTCAACAGTGATCAGTCACGTTCAACAGTGATCAGTCATGTTCAACAGTGATCAGTCATGTTCAACAGTGATCAGTCATGTTCAACAGTGATCAGTCATGTTCAACAGTGATCAGTCATGTTCAACAGTGATCAGTCATGTTCAACAGTGATCAGCCATGTTCAACAGTGGAGTGATCCGCCATGTTCAACAGTGGAGTGATCAGCCATGTTCAACAGTGGAGTGATCAGCCATGTTCAACAGTGGAGTGATCAGCCATGTTCAACAGTGGAGTGATCAGCCATGTTCAACAGTGGAGTGATCAGCCATGTTCAACAGTGGAGTGATCAGCCATGTTCAACAGTGGAGTGATCAGCCATGTTCAACAGTGGAGTGATCAGCCATGTTCAACAGTGATCAGCCATGTTCAACAGTGATCAGCCATGTTCAACAGTGATCAGCCATGTTCAACAGTGGAGTGATCAGCCATGTTCAACAGTGGAGTGATCAGCCATGTTCAACAGTGGAGAGATCAGCCATGTTCAACAGTGGAGTGATCAGCCATGTTCAACAGTGGAGTGATCAGCCATGTTCAACAGTGGAGTGATCAGCCATGTTCAACAGTGGAGTGATCAGCCATGTTCAACAGTGGAGTGATCAGCCATGTTCAACAGTGGAGTGATCAGCCATGTTCAACGGGAGAGCGAACAGTTGTTGTCAACGGTGACACTAATTAAGAAAAATTGCTTCCACGGCGCTAAAGTTGGAGAAAGAAAAAAGTGAAGGAAAATTACAGAGATGTGAAATATAGTGTGAGTTATGCCTTTGTTTTGCACTGCTTGCAGGGTTTTCAGGGTCGTTTTCTTAAAGGTATAAACGGGTGCTGGAAGGAGTCCAGATTTGTGGCCAAGGCAGTTTTTGCTTTTATAAAATCTTTGGAGCAAGACAGTGGTAATTGAAGATGTGTTTTGGGTCACTCAAGACGCACGCATTACCCATGGATATATATGGTTAAGAGTAACACAACCCGAAGTTTGTCCAAAAAAGGAATTTGGAGTCACACAACTGGTTCCCAACCCATTTTTTTTAAGTTACCCCATACAAACACTGGCCTAGGTACCAGTTCTCTATCGAACGCTCCAGAGAAATTCTGAATGATTTTCACATGGATATATCACCTTATTTTGATGTTGTTTTCGCTTTGTATATTCTGTAATCTTTCACAGGTTTACAGGTCTTCTCGTAGCGAACATTTTTATGGTGGAGCTAAACTGAAAGCGAGTTTAGTAAATAATCAAATAACACCTGAGCCATGGCCTCCCTGGTTCCTTCCCTCCCTGTGTGCCTCCCTCCCTGCCTGCCTCCCTCCCTGTAGTTCCTCTGACACGTACCCTCTCTGCACTCACCCCATGCCCATCCTCCTCGCCCACTCACATACCCACAAATGGCATCCACTCACCTTAATCTCGTCGAAGGTGACAGGCGTAGTTCGAAACCGTCCGGTTCGGTTCATTTTCTTCTTGGTGGCCCGCTTGTAGGAGTGAGGATGGGGCTCGACGACGCGGTTGAGTCGAGAGAGCGGCTCCGGGTATATGGCGTCGATCTCCCGCCGGTAGTCCTTCGGCGGTGTGGAAGACATTTTGGTGGTTAGTTTATCCAGGATGGCGGTTGGTGGCTACGTGAGGTGAAGGCAGGTCCTTGATGGCTGCCCTGGGTGTAGACTGCTCACTGGCGGCAGCCTTGGGTGAGGGTGATCACTGGCTGCTGCCCAGGGTGATGGCAGGTCACTGGCTGCTGGGTGATGGCAGGTCACTGGCTGCTGCCCAGGGTGAAGGCAGGTCACTGGCTGCTGCCCAGGGTGATGGCAGGTCACTGGCTGCTGCCCAGGGTGATGGCAGGTCACTGGCTGCTACCCAGGGTGATGGCAGGTCACTGGCTGATGCCCAGGGTGATGGCAGGTCACTGGCTGCTGCCCAGGGTGATGGCAGGTCACTGGCTGCTGCCCAGGGTGATGGCAGGTCACTGGCTGCTGCCCAGGGTGATGGCAGGTCACTGGCTGCTGCCCAGGGTGAAGGCAGGTCACTGGCTGCTGCCCAGGGTGATGGCAGGTCACTGGCTGCTGCCCAGGGTGATGGCAGGTCACTGGCTGCTGCCCAGGGTGATGGCAGGTTACTGACGGTAAACTTCCCAACAAAATAATTTGGCACTCGGGAAAGCAGAGTCTACGAGCGGCTAGAAAATATAATAATACACCGGCTGATTTATCACCACTGATATAACCTTGTATGGCAAAGCAGAGCTTACCAGTGATGTCTGGGTTAGACACCACAACACAAATGCAGATTTATATTTACAAAAATACTATTTACAGTAATCTATAATGAGGCACAAACACAAGGCACTGGTTTACACCATTCGGATCTTAACACTCAAGGCAGCATAAGGTTGCTTACAAGGTGTTCAAATAAGGCGTTTCTCGTCCTCTTCAACGATCAATATTATTTTATGTTTCTGCACCAAGTGATTTGAACAGCAACTCCTATAATAAATAGTTTCACAAAATATATAGATACATTTCTTGTAATATATAATGTGATTTACTAAGCTTGTTCTCTTCAGTGAGGTATAGCATCGACATTAGTATGTCATCAGTGTTACGGTGTCCTTTGCCCCAGCCAGTGTTGTCGAGGAGGTCCTCGCCTGGAGCTCAACCCTCCCTAAAGATCACAGCAAGCGCAGTTGGTCCCCCTGGGTCTGGCCAGACACAGCGCGCTCCTGGCGGGTGTGGACGGTGCTGCCCCCCTACCACACCAAACACAACTGAACTCTTGTGGGCCTGCACGCACCTTCACTGGTGAGGGTGTCGACGGAGTTTCACTGTACTGGACCTGAACCTCTGCACCACAATATTATACTGCGCCTCACTGGATGTCTGTGGATTAAGAGCCCCATAACACAGACTAGCGAGAGTGTCATTCACCAACAACTCTACGTCTTCCTCTTCCCCAGCGAGAGCAACATTCGGGAAGAAGAGCCTCCACAGCTCTGGGCGAGAGACGTGGCGGCGACGACGGTGCTAAGCACCATCAGGGGCGGCAATGGGGCACTATCAGGGACGGCGGGGCAGTATCAGCAGCGGCAGTGGGGCACCGTCAAGGGCGGCGACGTATCCTCCGCACCATACGACTGCGCTCCAGGTGTTCCGTGTACCAGGTCTGTCAAGGAGAAAATAGGTTATTGAAAATTTGAAGCTAAGAGAAAGGTTGGTGTTGATCAAGTGTAACAAAGTGGGGCGAGGAAACTCTACCCTGTGCGTCACACCTCAGTGTTTTGGTGCGTCCATGACATCACTACACGAGAGTAAAGGAATATGTTGAAGGTCTGCACTGACCACTGTGAGACAGCTCCTGCTTTTACCCCTTCACTTCCACTCGTGAACTTATCCAACTCGCGCTTGAAACTTTCCATTATATTTACATGTATGATATTACTTGGCAATATGTTCTACATAACTGTAACCCTATTTCTGTGGCAGTATTTGCCTATTTACTTTTCTAACTCTAACCATCCTAATTTAATCCATTGTATTAGATTTTTAGAAATCTATTTTTATACCCATTCGTAAGTCCTTTTATCTATTTGTGTACGTCAATTATATCCATCATTACGTCGCTCTGGGAGTCTAGGGGATGTAAACAGTTTTCTTTGTCTCATCACAAGGAAGGTTCTTAATGCCTGAGTTTACCTCAAGTTATTCTTCTTTGTTTACTCTTAAGATCATTTAAGACAGTACAGACCGTGTGTAGGGAAGTAGTAAAGACCGTGTGTAAATGTTATGATTGGGTGCTTAATAATAAAATAGGGTTTAACTACAAATGGAGACAACTTATACCATCAGTTCACCCTAAAATAGTGGACAGGGCTCTCCAATGGTAACTGGTTGGAATATGAGCCCCCAACTTGGCTGGTGACTGCCTGCCCACCAGTGAAACGTCACAAAATAGTCTGTTGAGAGATGGCAGCCTAACCAGGGGCCAGATTCACGAAAGCACTTACGCAAGCACTTATGAACGTGTACATCTTTCCTCAATCTTTGACTGCTTTGATAACATTTATTAAACAATTTACAAGCATGAAAACTTCCCATTCAACTGTTGTTATTGTTATAAACAGCCTCCTGGTGCTTCGGAGCTCATTAACTGTTTAATAATTGTAAACAAAGCCTCCAAAGATTGAGAAAAGATGTACAGGTTCGTAAGTGTTTTCGTGAATCTGGCCCCAGGCCCACGGGATAATTATCAGTGATTTAACAATAATATATTTATGTACAATCTCCACGCCCTTGTAACAAAGTTCTGGCTGTCGAAAGTTACTTTACTATCCTCTACTGCCTCCTGTAACAGGAGCATGAACTCACATAAGACTCTCACATAATATTACACGCTCACCAAAATGACCGGAACACTTCACAAGTAAACCGGTACAACGACATACACTGTATCCTCTTGCAAAGCGCTTTAGATGTATATATATATAGATAGATAAGTAGTAAAGATCACGAGTAGGTCAGAGCGTGTGTAGGGAAGTAGTTAAGACATGTTAGTGTGATGCAGGCGATGAGTCACAATAACGTGGCTAAAGTATGTTGACCAGGCCACACACTAGAAGGTGAAGGGACGACGACGTTACGGTCCATCCTGGACCATTCTCAAGTCGATTGAGAATGGATTGAGAATTGAACGTCGTCGTCCCTTCACCTTCTAGTGTGTGGTCTGGTCAACATGTTAGTGTGATGTCTTTGTGTACCTGAAACTGAAGTGTATGGTTCATGAAGCACTCTACCTACACCAGAGTGCTTGGCGCTGACGAGTAAAGCTTGCACTGGCTTCAGTACAAGCCTCCAGACATCCTGTGGACTGGGTGTACTGTGTGAGTCATTGATGAAGATTAAGCCACCCAAGAGGTGGCACGGGCATGAATAACCCATAACGGGTGACCTTCCAGGGTGAACAACTTGTACCATGTCGTTGTTCAGGGGTAAGGTGTGCGGCTGGGAACACCATGATCGCTGGTTTGAGTCCCCCTCTGTGCCCCAATTGATTTTTTAAATAATAATAATAATAATAATAATAATAATAATGGAGACTATAATAAGTATTCTTTAGCGCCTGCAAGATATAATAAAGTCATGAGGGTGCTTGTGGGGGGGGGGGGAGGTCGAGGGGCATGGAGTAGAGAAGGAGGAAGGGGGGAGGGGGGAGAAGACCTAGGGGGACGGCGGTGAGTGAAAGGGGGGGGGGTGGTGGGAGGAAGAAGGGGGGTGGGAAGGGGAGGAGGAGGAAGAAGGGAAGAGGGGCGAGGAAGAAGGGGAGAGGAGCTAGGCATGGATTACGTATAAATAGCTGGCCTATATACCCTACTCGGGTCATGCCATGGAGATCCGGGTTGGGAATCTGTACATCAGACAACCCACCGTTATTAAGACGGGGCCCAAGAGCTGAGAACTCGACCCTACAGGCATAAATGATAACTACACACTCACCAACTTAAAACAGAGAAAATAGGAACAGCGGACATAAGTGAAAACTGAAAGCACAAATAAGTCGACAAAACGTAAGGAAATACTGGTGGGACACAACAGTAGAAATAAAAGCCCTCCACAACTACAAGGACAGATTCCATAACAAAATTTTGACGTGTGAATAGTTAAGCCATAAAGCAACAGGAACAAGAAGGGACATGTTGCTATGCCCGGGTTCGAGCCCCGGCGGAGGCGGAAATAAATGGGCAGTTTCTCTTACCCTGATGCCCTTGTTCACGTAGCAGTAAATAGGTACCTGGGAGTTAGACAGCTGCTACGGGCTGCTTCCTGGGTGTGTGTGTGTGTAGGGGTAGGGGGGTGGGGGAAATAATCAGTTGATTGACTGACAGTTGAGAGGCGGGCTCAAAGAGTCAAAGCTCAACCCTTGCAAGCACAACTAGGTGAGTACACTTACCCACATGCCGGAAAGGTGTATATTAGTGATGATAAGTGTAGGCATTACTGCGTGTGGGGCTCGCCCCTCACCTTCCTTAGTGCATTATCTGTCTCACTCACTGCCGTCACCTCTCTCATCTCCTTCCCCGCCCCTCTCTCTCTCTCTTCTTCCCCCCACTCTCTCTCTGTCTCTCCCCGTCTCTCCCTATCCTGCAACGGCATGTAATAGTTACAAGTGTGTGAGATATTAATGAGAGCAGCAGAGAGAGAGTGCGGCGGCAGTGAGTCTGAACATGCGGGATGTTATCATTGTTAATGTAGGAGGACACCACCCTGGAGTAAACAGACCAGCGTAAAACACTCTGGTACACCGCTAATCTTCTTGACCTTTCTCAGGTCATTATAGAGAAAAATAGAGGCTATATTTGCAGTCAAGACTCCAAGTGGGGTCCACGAGGAGCAAATTAAAGGTCAGCCCAATCGTCGTGTCGAGGCAAAGCTCGGCACCTTTAGCCTACATTGATACTCTGTCCACACATTATTCTCTAAAACCATATACACTGATGGTTCCCCCTATTCCATGGTTAGGGGGCCTGGTGGCTGAGTTGACAGCGCTCGAGATTCGTAGTCCTAAGGTCCTGGGATCGATCCCCGGCGGAGGCGGAAACAAATGGGAAAAGTTTCTTTCACTATGATGTCCTCTTCATCTAGCAGTAAATAGGTACCTGGGAGTTAGACAGCTGCTACGGGCTGCTTCCTGGGGAAGGTGTGAGTATGTGTGCGGGGGGGGGGGGATCAATCAACTTGATTGATTGAAAGTTGAGAGGCGGGCCTAAAGAGCCAGAGCTCATCCCCCGCAAGCACAACTTGGTGAGTACAACTAGGTGAATAAACCTGTCCACGGTTGTTCCGGCAATATTTCTTATACTCGCTGGTAGGACGCTGAACAACCGCGGACCTCTGATGTTTATACAGTGTTCTCTGATTGTGCCTATGGCACCTCTGCTTTTCACTGGTTCTATTCTACATTTTCTTCCATATCGTTCACTCCAGTATGTTGATATTTCAGTAAGTTAAGTATTTAGCACGTTAGTATTTTAGTAAGTGTAGTAAGGCTTTACGGTCCAGCATTGGGTTATTGGGTGTAGTGGGTGGGTGTTGGGTGTACTGGGGAGGTGTAGTGGGTGGGTGTTGGGTGTACTGGGGAGGTGTAGTGGGTGGGTGTTGGGTGTACTGGGGAGGTGTAGTGGGTGGGTGTTGGGTGTAGTGGGTGGATGTTGGGTGTAGTGGGTGGGTGTAGTGGGTGGGTGTTGGGTGTAGTGGGCGGGTGTTGGGTGTAGTGGGCGGGTGTTGGGTGTAGTGGGCGGGTGTTGGGTGTAGTGGGTGGGTGTTGGGTGTAGTGGGCGGGTGTTGGGTGTAGTGGGTGGGTGTTGGGTGTAGTGGGCGGGTGTTGGGTGTAGTGGGCGGGTGTTGGGTGTAGTGGGCGGGTGTTGGGTGTAGTGGGTGGGAGTTGGGTGTAGTGGGTGGGTGTTGGGTGTAGTGGGTGGGTGTTGGGTGTAGTGGGTGGGAGTTGGGTGTAGTGGGTGGGTGTTGGGTGTAGTGGGTGGGTGTTGGGTGTAGTGGGTGGGTGTTGGGTGTAGTGGGTGGGAGTTGGGTGTAGTGGGTGGGAGTTGGGTGTAGTGGGTGGGTGTTGGGTGTAGTGGGGGGGTGTTGGGTGTAGTGGGGGGGTGTTGGGTGTAGTGGGGGGGTGTTGGGTGTAGTGGGTGGGTGTTGGGTGTAGTGGGTGGGTGTTGGGTGTAGTGGGTGGGTGTTGGGTGTAGTGGGTGGGTGTTGGGTGTAGTGGGCGGGTGTTGGGTGTAGTGGGTGGGTGTTGGGTGTAGTGGGTGGGAGTTGGGTGTAGTGGGTGGGTGTTGGGTGTAGTGGGTGGGTGTTGGGTGTAGTGGGTGGGTGTTGGGTGTAGTGGGTGGGAGTTGGGTGTAGTGGGGAGGTGTTGGGTGTAGTGGGTGGGAGTTGGGTGTAGTGGGTGGGTGTTGGGTGTAGTGGGTGGGTGTTGGGTGTAGTGGGTGGGTGTTGGGTGTAGTGGGCGGGTGTTGGGTGTAGTGGGTGGGTGTTGGGTGTAGTGGGTGGGAGTTGGGTGTAGTGGGTGGGTGTTGGGTGTAGTGGGTGGGTGTTGGGTGTAGTGGGTGGGTGTTGGGTGTAGTGGGTGGGAGTTGGGTGTAGTGGGTGGGAGTTGGGTGTAGTGGGTGGGTGTTGGGTGTAGTGGGCGGGTGTTGGGTGTAGTGGGTGGGTGTTGGGTGTAGTGGGGAGGTGTTGGGTGTAGTGGGCGGGTGTTGGGTGTAGTGGGTGGGTGTTGGGTGTAGTGGGCGGGTGTTGGGTGTAGTGGGTGGGAGTTGGGTGTAGTGGGTGGGTGTTGGGTATAGTGGGCGGGTGTTGGGTGTAGTGGGCGGGTGTTGGGTGTAGTGGGCGGGTGTTGGGTGTAGTGGGTGGGTGTTGGGTGTAGTGGGGAGGTGTTGGATGCAGTGGGTGGGTGTTGGGTGTAGTGGGCGGGTGTTGGGTGTAGTGGGTGGGTGTTGGGTGTAGTGGGTGGGTGTTGGGTGTAGTGGGCGGGTGTTGGGTGTAGTGGGGAGGTGTTGGGTGTAGTGGGCGGGTGTTGGGTGTAGTGGGTGGGTGTTGGGTGTAGTGGGCGGGTGTTGGGTGTAGTGGGGAGGTGTTGGGTGTAGTGGGGAGGTGTTGGGTGTAGTGGGTGGGTGTTGGGTGTAGTGGGGAGGTGTTGGGTGTAGTGGGTGGGTGTTGGGTGTAGTGGGCGGGTGTTGGGTTTAGTGGGCGGGTGTTGGGTGTAGTGGGCGGGTGTTGAGTGTACTGGGCGGGTGTTGAGTGTAGTGGGCGGGTGTTGGGTGTAGTGGGTGGGTGTTGGGTGTAGTGGGGAGGTGTTGGGTGTAGTGGGGAGGTGTTGGGTGTAGTGGGCGGGTGTTGGGTGTAGTGGGCGGATGTTGGGTGTAGTGGGCGGATGTTGGGTGTAGTGGGCGGGTGTTGGGTGTAGTGGGCGGGTGTTGGGTGTAGTGGGCGGATGTTGGGTGTAGTGGGCGGATGTTGGGTGTAGTGGGGAGGTGTTGGGTGTAGTGGGCGGGTGTTGGGTGTAGTGGGGAGGTGTTGGGTGTAGTGCTGGGGCATCTTGGGAGGTGTTGGGTGTAGTGCTGGGGCATCTTGGGAGGTGTTGGGTGTAGTGGGTGGGTGTTGGGTGTAGTGGGCGGGTGTTGGGTGTAGTGGCCGGGTGTTGGGTTTAGTGGGCGGGTGTTGAGTGTAGTGGGCGGGTGTTGAGTGTAGTGGGCGGGTGTTGGGTGTAGTGGGGAGGTGTTGGGTGTAGTGGGTGGGTGTTGGGTGTAGTGGCCGGGTGTTGGGTTTAGTGGGCGGGTGTTGAGTGTAGTGGGCGGGTGTTGAGTGTAGTGGGCGGGTGTTGGGTGTAGTGGGGAGGTGTTGGGTGTAGTGGATGGGTGTTGGGTGTAGTGGGTGGGTGTTGGGTGTAGTGGCCGGGTGTTGGGTTTAGTGGGTGGGTGTTGGGTGTAGTGGGGAGGTGTTGGGTGTAGTGGGCGGATGTTGGATGTAGTGGGGAGGTGTTGGGTGTAGTGGCCGGGTGTTGGGTTTAGTGGGTGGGTGTTGGGTGTAGTGGGCGGGTGTTGGGTGTAGTGGCCGGGTGTTGGGTTTAGTGGGTGGGTGTTGGGTGTAGTGGGTGGGTGTTGTGTGTAGTGGGCGGGTGTTGTGTGTAGTGGGCGGATGTTGGGTATAGTGGGCGGGTGTTGTGTGTAGTGGGCGGGTGTTGGGTGTAGTGGGCGGGAGTTGGATGTAGTGGGGTGGTGTTGGGTGTAGTGGGCGGAAGTTGGGTGTAGTGGGTGGGTGTTGGGTGTAGTGGGCGGGTGTTGGGTGTAGTGGGCGGGTGTTGGGTGTAGTGGGTGGGTGTTGTGTGTAGTGGGCGGGTGTTGGGTGTAGTGGGCGGGTGTTGGGTGTAGTGGGCGGGTGTTGGGTGTAGTGAGGTGGTGTTGGGTGTAGTGGGCGGGTGTTGGGTGTAGTGGGTGAGTGTTGGGTGTAGTGGGCGGATGTTGGGTGTAGTGGATGGGTGTTGGGTGTAGTGGGCGGGTGTTGGGTGTAGTGGGCGGGTGTTGGGTGTAGTGGGCGGATGTTGGGTGTAGTGGGCGGATGTTGGGTGTAGTGGGCGGATGTTGGGTGTAGTGGGCGGATGTTGGGTGTAGTGGGGAGGTGTTGGGTGTAGTGGGCGGATGTTGGGTGTAGTGGGCGGATGTTGGGTGTAGTGGGCGGATGTTGGGTGTAGTGGGCGGATGCTGGGTGTAGTGGGTGGGTGTTGGGTGTAGTGGGGAGGTGTTGGGTGTAGTGGGCGGATGTTGGGTGTAGTGGGTGGGTGTTGGGTGTAGTGGGCGGGTGTTGGGTGTAGTGGGCGGGTGTTGGGTGTAGTGGGTGGGTGTTGGGTGTAGTGGGCGGGTGTTGGGTGTAGTGGGCGGGTGTTGGGTGTAGTGGGCGGGTGTTGGGTGTAGTGGGCGGATGTTGGGTGTAGTGGGTGGGTGTTGGGTGTAGTGGGTGGGTGTTGGGTGTAGTGGATGGGTGTTGGGTGTAGTGGGCGGGTGTTGGGTGTAGTGGGGAGGTGTTGGGTGTAGTGGGCGGATGTTGGGTGTAGTGGGCGGGTGTTGGGTGTAGTGGGCGGATGTTGAGTGTAGTGGGAGGGTGTTGGGTGTAGTGGGTGGGTGTTGGGTGTAGTGGGCGGATGTTGAGTGTAGTGGGTGGGTGTTGGGTGTAGTGGGCGGGTGTTGGGTGTAGTGGGCGGATGTTGGGTGTAGTGGGTGGGTGTTGGGTGTAGTGGGGAGGTGTTGGGTGTAGTGGGCGGATGTTGGGTGTAGTGGGCGGGTGTTGGGTGTAGTGGGCGGATGTTGAGTGTAGTGGGTGGGTGTTGGGTGTAGTGGGCGGGTGTTGGGTGTAGTGGGCGGGTGTTGGGTGTAGTGGGGTGGTGTTGGGTGTAGTGGGCGGGTGTTGGGTGTAGTGGGAAGGTGCTGGGTGTAGTGGGGAGGTGTTGGGTGTAGTGGGCGGGTGTTGGGTGTAGTGGGGAGGTGCTGGGTGTAGTGGGGAGGTGTTGGGTGTAGTTGGGAGGTGTTGGGTGTAGTGGGCGGGTGTTGGGTGTAGTGGGAGGTGCTGGGTGTAGTGGGGAGGTGTTGGGTGTAGTTGGGAGGTGTTGGGTGTAGTGGGCGGGTGTTGGGTGTAGTGGGGAGGTGTTGGGTGTAGTGAGCGGGTGTTGGGTGTAGTGGGCGGGTGTTGGGTGGAGTGGGGATGTGGGTGGTTGAGAGGAGGCAAGTGTAGAGGAGTAGAGAGCAGTGGGTGGAGGATGGGGTGGGGGGTCTGGCACGGCCTCCGTGGCCCCGTGCCAGTTGGGCACTTCTGCTCTTTCTCGGTGCCTAGTGCTGCCACCGACTTTGGCACGACCCCACTTCTAGTAGGTACTTTGGCACGACCCCAACTATTACTAAGGACTCTAGGTTGACCTCAGTACTAGCAGTAACCCTGGTACGACGCCTCGTACTAGTAAGAAGACTAGGACGACCACCAGCACTGATAGGAATTTTGCCACGACCTCTCACCCAATGCTAGTAAAGACTAGGACGACCCCCAGAACTAGTAATGACTCTAGGACGACTTCCAGAACTAGTAATGACTCCAGGACGACTCCCAGCGCTAGTAATGACTCTAGGACGACCACCAGAACTAGTAAAGACTAGGACGACCCCCAGAACTAGTAAAGACTCTAGGACGACCTCCAGAACTAGTAATGATTCTAGGACGACCCTCAGAACTAGTAATAACTCTAGGACGACCTCCAGAACTAGTAATGACTCCAGGACGACCCCCAGAACTAGTAAAGACTCTAGGACGACCCCCAGAACTAGTAATGACTCTAGGACGACCCCCAGAACTAGTAATGACTCTAGGACGACCCCCAGAACTAGTAATGACTCCAGGACGACCCCCAGATCTAGTAATGACTCCAGGACGACCTCCAAAACTAGTAATGACTCCAGGACGACCTCCAGAACTAGTAATGACTCTAGGACGACCCCCTGAACTAGTAATGACTCTAGGACGACCTCCAGAAATAGTAAATACTCTTGGACGACCCCCAGAACTAGTATTGACTCTAGGACGACCCCCAGAAGTAGTAAGGACTCTAGGACGACCCCTCAGAACTAGTAATGACTCTAGGACGACCCCCAGAAGTAGTAATGACTCCAGGACGACCCCGAGAACTAGTAATGACTCTAGGACGACCCCCGGAACTAGTAATGACTCCAGGACGACCCTCAGAACTAGCAATGACTCCAGGACGACCCCCAGAACTAGTAATGACTCTAGGACGACCCTCAGAACTAGCAATGACTCTAGGACGACCCTCAGAACTAGCAATGACTCTAGGACGACCTCCAGCACTAGTGAGAACTCCAGGACGACTTCCAGCACTAGTTGGAAACCTGTTGTGGTCTCCAGTACTAGGAAGCACTAGTAAGGACGCTAGAACGCTCACCAGTACTACTCGAAACTCTAGCTTGACCTCCAGTACAATAGAGATTCTGGTACGACCTTCAGTGGTGGGGTCAGTACGACCCCACAACTATTTGTGGGTTGTGGGGCGTTGGGGGGGGGGGGTAATTTCAGTACTAATGGAGACTCTGGGCATAGACGCAATAATTGAAGGGCCACAGTAATGGGAGGACACAGTAATGGGAGGACACAGTAATGGGAGGACACAGTAAGAGAGGGCCACAGTATCAGGAGGGCCAAAGTAAGAGAGGGCCACAGTGAGAGGGGGACCACAACGAGAGGGGACCACAGTAAGAGAGGGCCACAGTATCAGGAGGGCCAAAGTGAGAGAGGGCCAAAGTGAGAGAGGGCCACAGTGAGAGAGGGCCACAGTATCAGGAGGGCCACAGTGAGAGAGGGCCACAATGAGAGGGGGCCACAATGAGAGGGGGCCACAATGAGAGAGGGCCACAATGAGAGGGGGCCACAGTGAGAGAGGGCCACAATGAGAGGGGGCCACAGTGAGAGAGGGCCACAGTGAGGAGTGCTATACACAAGGAACAACTATACAGTGGACTGATGTTTGATCTCGCACGACTGTGCCTCAAGAAAGGAAGGGTATTATCAGTTGAGAGCGCTAAGCCATTACGACTATATAGCACTAGGAGGGGATCAGGATAGAGACTTGGGACGGGACGGGACGGGGGGAGGGAGTTAAGCCACAAGGTACGCCAGCTGCTCCATGAACTCCACGCCCCGAACATACACTCATGCCCCATACACGCTCCCTCGCATACACACACGCTCCCTCGCATACACACACGCTCCCTCGCATACACACACGCTCCCTCGCATACACGCACGCTCCCTCGCATACACGCACGCTCCCTCGCATACACACACGCTCTCTCGCATACAAGCACGCTCCCTCGCATACATGCACGCTTCCTCGCATACACGCACGCTCCCTCGCATACACACACGCTCTCTCGCATACAAGCACGCTCCCTCGCATACATGCACGCTTCCTCGCATACACGCACGCTCCCTCGCATACACACACGCTCCCTCACATACATGCACGCTTCCTCGCATACACACACGCTCCCTAGCATACATGCACGCTCCCTTGCATACACGCACGCTCTCTCGCATACAAGCACGCTCCCTCGCATACATGCACGCTTCCTCGCATACACGCACGCTCCCTCGCATACACACACGCTCCCTCGCATACAAGCACGCTCCCTCGCATACACACACGCTCCCTCACATACATGCACGCTTCCTCGCATACACACACGCTCCCTAGCATACATGCACGCTCCCTTGCATACACGCACGCTCCCTCGCATACACACACGCCCCCTCGCATACACGCACGCTCCCTCGCATACACACACGCCCCCTCGCATACACGCCCCCTCGCATACACGGAGGAGAAGGAGAAGGAAATGAATCATGGAGAGCAAAGCTTGTAGAAGTAGTAGAGAGGAACTTCCTGATGTTAGGGACAAAACAAAAAGAAAGGGTCGTGACCAACCAGCTACGTAAGACCTGGTCTTCACACAGAGTGACATGAACATTGAAAACATAGACCATGAAATGCCATAAGGACCCAATGACCATTGTGTTTTAGTCTTTGAATACATAGTGACATTGAAGACCATAAAAAGATGTAACAAGGGCAAGAGTGTAACAAGCGGGGGGGGGGGGTAACATACAGGAGGGAGGAATACCAGATGGTCAGAGAATTCCTGGAGGGCATAGAATGGCAAAGGGAACGCAGAGGAAAATCCACACAGAACGTGATGACTACGTAATGGTCAAACTCGAAGAAGCTGAAGAATTTATTTCTTATTTCTAGCCTGACGAAATGCTTTGGCATATTAACTACAATAAACACTTAAGAAGAAGAAAAGAGAGAAAGAGAGAGAGAGAGAGAGAGAGAGAGAGAGAGAGAGAGAGAGAGAGAGAGAGAGAGAGAGAGAGAGAGAGAGAGAGAGAGAGAGAGAGAGAGAGAGAGAGAGAGAGAGAGAGAGAGAGAGAGAGAGAGAGAGAGAGAGAGAGAGAGAGAGAGAGAGAGAGAGAGAGAGAGAGGAGAGAGAGAGAGAGAGAGAGAGAGGAGAGAGAGAGAGAGAGAGAGAGAGAGAGAGAGAGAGAGAGAGAGAGAGAGGAGAGAGAGAGAGAGAGAGAGAGAGAGAGAGAGAGAGAGACCGAGACCGAGACCGAGACCGAGAGAGAAAGAGACAGAAATCCTTTCTAAATATTTCGTGATTCCTGTGTACCAAGGAGGGTGATGGCGTCATAATCCATACAGATGTTTGCCCAATGCTGACGAAAATGGCGGTGTGGAGGGGGGAGTCGAACCCTGGTATTAGCGAGGTCCATATAATTACACGAGGGGTGCATGTAACCCGAGCCAACCTTCGCTCTGTGTATTTGCCTGTTATATGTTGTGCTCTGCTTGCGTTAGTTAATTTTCTACCACATTTGTGTTCACTCATTATACATTGTTAACCAGTTTGTATTCATTTTTTCTCTCCCCCGTTATCGGTCTGTTAGACAATACAGTGAGTTATTTACCACTCAACTACAGGAGGTGATTGCAGTGCTTTAATAAGAGTAACCAACATGCATACATTCTCGTCTGTGTTACATAGACAGGGTTAGAGATCTGGTCTCCCACATATAGTGCAGAGACCACTCAGCCACAGAATGTAACTCAAGAATTTTTACAGTGGCAAATTACAATTGCATCGGGCATATGTATTATTTTCGTCTGTCGTACATTGATAGTGCATTTTGAGTTACAGAGCACTCAACCACGAAAAGTGATTAAAGTGTTTATTCAAGTTATAATTATCTCACATATATTACATAATAGTTGCGTCACACATTAAATCTTGGATACAGGTCCAGTATATTATCTTTTCTCAATCTTTGGCGGCTTTGTTTCCACTTATTAAACAGTTAATGAGCTCGGAAGCACCAGGAGGATGTTTATAACAATAACAACAGTTGAATAGGAAGTTTTCATGCTTGTAAACTGTTTAATAAATGTAATCAAAGCCGTCAAAGATTGAGGAAAGATGTACACGTTCGTAAGTGCTTGCGTAAGAGCTCGTGAATCTGGGCCCCCAGTATATCATCACGTGTTCCAGTATTATAAAAATATTTACAGAGTTCAGCATAATTCAACCCAGAGGTTGACATACGCTGAATAATACAATAATATTGTATGTTTTGTCAGTCAATATGACATTTAGTGCGCCAGCCAGAGGCTTAGGGCCCGCGCAGGAATATCCCTGCAAAAAAAAATAAAAATGACATTCTACAATATAATGTTCCAGATAATGAATGTTTGCTCTTTCACTAAGTCGATACTGGAGTTTTGGAAAGCTGCCAGATACGTCTGTATTCCAGGCACATTCTATTCCTTTGCCTTGTTCGGGTTGAATGTAGACACAGTAGTCGCTTCCGTATATATTTATTGACCGAGACAACAAGGTATATATCTGGCCAACCGAGGTCCACCTTACTCTGAGTCTGTGAGGAGAACTGAGGCTGCTGGGAGCATCGCTGATGCTCCTCTGTCTGGCATGACGTCAGAGGTCTACTTGCCTGTGATTGGGTGACATTTCAACTGACATAGAATTTGAGTATAACAATTCTGGCCACTATAACATCACATAGCTGAGTTCTTGCTCTGTTGATTCCATTCATAAACGTCTCTACACAGTACTAATCATATTGTCAAATACTACAGCTTTCATTTCTGAGAATTTGTTTGGACAGTAATATTTTCAGTGGAGATTTTTAATTTTCTTTGTTACTATTACTGAAAAAACTTTTTGAGTTTAACTCCTGGTCTGCTACAGGCTGTGTTTGCAAGGTCAACAGTATCATGATTTGCTTATTGATGATAGTGGAGCAAGAGGGTGCATGGGAGACCTTTTGACTTTACCCAGACACTGTGCCTCTGTGTCACCCAGTGCCCCTACGTCATCTAGATCCAGTGTCCCTACGTCACCTAGATCCAGTGCCCCTACGTCATCTAGATCCAGTGGCCCCCAACGTCATCTAGATCCAGTGGCCCCTACGTCATCTAGATCCAGTGGCCCCTACGTCATCCAGACTCAGTGCCCCGACGTCATCCAGACTCAGTGCCCCGACGTCATCCAGACTCAGTGCCCCTACGTCATCCAGACTCAGTGCCCCGACGTCATCCAGACCGAGGCGTCTCACTGTATTACTAGATACCATGTACGCTACAAAATCTGCCTCTACAGACTGAAGTAAATATGACAAGAAAAGAAACTCTAAGACTAAGAAGGAATATCTAGAGTTTGAGATACTGTTTGATTTTCTTAGTATTACGTTTCCTAGAAAAATGTGGCAAATACTGCAGTATTATCCAGACAGAAAAGATATTGCTCTACCATAGCCCTGAAGCAAGGAGGCCGTTTGTAATAGTACCAGAGCATTATTGTTCTACTCCAACATAACGCCCAAAGTAATACTCTTTTAATACAAAAATAGTGTGGAAAGCAGGTGTTTGGCTTAAAATAATTTTCAAAATTTCTGAACAGTATTGTGGTTGTTCTGTTTGTAAATTGGGACTCAGGCTTCGGCCTCTACTTTGCGGATATTGATGACGTACTTGCGAACTCCACCTTCCGTGTGTGGCTTATTTCCTCAGACGCAAAATTAAATTGCATTTACATGCGTCATTCGGAAGTCTTGTTGAAGCCTCCAATACGGACTTGAGGAGTGATGATCCGAGACTTTTAATCAATTCTCAGTTGCTAGGGAAACGTCATCGTCAAACTAAGTTCGAAATTCACAAAGCTTGCATCAAAGATGTCAGGGAAGCAGCAAACTGGGCGAACATGTTTGCTGAAGCTTACAAAATCCGAACCAAGGTAAGCGGTTGGACATCGTTCAGTAAACCACAAAGTTACTGGTCTGCTGAAGGTAAGT